ATGTACGGGACAACACTCCAACCAACTGAGCCATATCGGCCAGGGCCAGGATTTCTTATCTCAGAATATCACGGCCATTTGTCAAATCATGAACAATAGGAACCTAGGACTCATCCCTGGCACTTCTCCTGCCTCCACCCATGCCCAATACATCACTGAGCACTGTTTTTACCTCCTCAGTCCTCAGTAAACCCTGAACCCAAGCTGCCATCAATCTCAGAGCCTGGACTACAGCAATAGCCTCCTAATTGGTCTCTAGGCAACTACTCATGCCTCTTCAATTTATTATCTATGCGGTGTACATGTCATCCACCCCAACTAAGACCTGTCAAGGGCTTGTCACTGATTCTAGAATTAAAAAACCAATCCTTAAGATGGTCTGGCTTTCACCCAGCTCTTCAGCCTCATCCTACACCACTCTCCCTTGCTGTCTCTGCTCCAGCCAATTCTCCCTGCTACATACCATACTCTTCCTGTCTGAACTCCCTTCTTTCTTTATCTAGTACACCCTCATCCTTCAGACCATAGCTCAAGCATCCCTTCCCCTGGGAAGTCTTCCAGGCTCCCTGGGCAAAGTCAAAATCCCTCATTTAAAAAAAAATTAAAAATTTCCTATTATAAACTGTCATGGCATCTGTGCCTTTCCTTCTTAGCCCTCAACGAAGTTGTATTCTTGCATTTATTTGTATATCACTTATTTCCCTTACCTTTAGAGGTTCCTCTTGCTCCACCTGCTCATTCAGTTTTTTTGTGTAAGCATCACTGATTTCAGTTACTTGCACGAACCCCTGGAGGCCATTGGGGAGACTAATCACCAGTTCCAGTTCATTTACTTCTTTCACACACCCCAAAATCCGCATCCCCTCATACAGGGACTAGAAGAAAAAAAGCAAAATCAGTACAATAAGGAAGAGAACAATGAATGGGGATGTTAGGGACGGTCTGGTTTCTCGTCTCAACTCTAACATACAAAAGCTACAAGAGGTGCGTATATGTATATGTCAATGCACTTAATTAAACATCGGACTGAGCACCATAAAAGGTCTAAGTTATACAACAGCCTTAACAGCACTAGGGTGCTAGAGGGCACTTTCACCTTTTACTTTATTTCAAGCCACCCAACCTCACCTGACAGGCAACAAAATGAAGGAAGCAGGCCAGGGGGGATAATAGCTGTCTAGCCCAGTGATGGTGAACCTTTTGAGCTCGGCATGCCAGCATTTTGAAAAACCCTAACTTAACTCTGCTGCCGTGTCACATATAGAAATTTTTTGATATTTGCAACCATAGTAAAACAAAGATTTATATTTTTGAAATTTATTTTATATATTTAAATGCCATTTAACAAAGAAAAATCAACCAAAAAAATGAGTTCGCATGTCAGAGGTGCGTGTCATAGGTTCGCCATCACTGGTCTAGAATGTGTCAGCCAGGTCTAAACCACCACTCTGCTCCATGTGACTACTGACATGAGGGAATGCAAAGCTTGTGTTATCAGCACCTTTAAATTTTTGCAAGAAGCCAGAAAACACATTTTTATATAAAGTTTTTCAGTCTTCTAACATTGGCACCAAGTTAAACAATTTAAAAAAATATATATTACAGGACAAACAAAATATTTCTGGTAAGCTGAATCTGAATCGTTCCCTTCAGAATCATTTGATTTTCCCCCCTTTTATGACAACTAACATATATGTCAGTTACCTAAAAATTTAAGGAACATAAGACCACTTCACTTCTTTGAGATAGTTTCTCTATCTATGAAATGAAAGAATAGAATCAGAATGATTGCTAAATTTATTGCCAGTTCTAACCTACAAACCTATGAAAACACAAGTCCCATGAGGCTATCAGCGGATGAGCTAAAAAGCAAACAAACAAACAAAAAAATACATGATGCCAGGCATTAATTAATAATAGAAAGAAATGATGCTCAATTCCGAGCACGAAGGACATATACAAATTAAACAACCCAGGTACTTTGTTTAAAATAAAACCAAACTTTAACAAACCTCAATATTAAGGATTTCAAACTTTTCTTCTATAGACTTGCTGCTTTCTCTCTTTTCAATTTTCAACTTTTTTGTTTTTGCTGGCCCTTTCTGGCTTTTTTTCCTTTTGATGGATTCCTCTTCAGTAGAAATCTAAAGGTGAAAAAAAGACCCCAAAGAATGAAAAGAAGCAATCCTGGCCTTTCCCTCCAATTACAGTCATCTATCACCTTGCTCTGTTATTGCTCCACTCCACCCCACTCCTAAATATTCCTTTAATTCCTACTTCAATCCAAACTTTCCCATTTTCCCCCCAATGCTCCCCTTGTCCAAAATCTGCCTGTCATGTTCCCAGTGTTCTTCCTCCTGTGACTTAGGATAGACAGTGGGTCCCCCAAAATAAGGAGCAATTGGGATCAGTGTGTGAATGGAAAGTGGAGTCAGGAAGACCAAGTTAACTACCAATTCCACCATAACAAGCTGTGTGGTTTAGCCAAATTATATAACCTCTCTTAGCCTGGGTTCCTCATCATAGAATGACGATCTCTATTTCATAGTAGAATCTCTATTTCATAGTATCGTTGGAAAGATTATGTAAAATAAACATAAAGCCATACAAGTAAATGTTAGATCCCTTCCCTCCAGCATTTAGAGCACAGATTACTGTAGGTGAAGACTATGAATTCTAATGCAAATTCTGACCTTTATACCAGTACATGGCTGCAAGGACCCCACTCAAAAATACAATGATCAAATGGTCTCCCTCCATCCTTTATCAACACCACACAAAGTTCCTAAGAATAAGGAACAAGACCACTGCAAACTCAAATACTAACTGCCATGCTTCAAAAGACATAGTCTTGTGGTGGTACAGACTCTCTAACATGTTCAATTTAAAAACACAGATTTCAGCCGAACCGGTTTGGCTCAGTGGATAGGGCGTCGGCCTGCGGACTCAAGGGTCCCGGGTTCGATTCCGGTCGAGGGCATGTGCCTTGGTTGCGGGCGCATCCCCACTGGGGGGTGTGCAAGAGGCAGCTGATTGATGTTTCTCTCTCATCGATGTTTCTAGCTCTCTATCCCTCTCCCTTCTTCTCTGTAAAAAATCAATAAAATATATTTAAAAAAAAAACAAAACAAAAAACAACAACACAGATTTCAAAAAGAAACAAATCTGAAAAATAACACAATTCTCAAACAGGGCTCATTCTTTAGAAGAACACTACAGAGAAAGTGTTCCGTGACTCTCAAACAAGCATATCACTTACATCAAACAAGTTGTCTTGTTCAACTGACTGCTGGGGCGCTATCTCTGATTTGTGGGTCTTCCTTGTACCCCCACGGGGGAAGCTTTCTTCCATGGTTGCCATGGTTGGGTCTCCTGAAACAATGCAAAGAGTTACCAGGAGATGTAACCTGTTAAGATTGCTTAAAGGCTGTGATCAATGGGCAAGAGATGAGCCTTCTAGCACCGATGTGCTAGCCAGCATTCAGGACCAGGCCCCAGATAATATACAATTCATCTTTCCAAAGGTCTCTCCTTCAAAAATAAAAAATCCACACATTTTCTTCCAAGGAAAGAAATTATAAATTCAATGTAGTAAATATCATTAAGCAGCTACAGTTAAGTCAGAAATACGCAAACAAATATAGAACCCCCCACCTTCAAAGAACATGAACACTTTTAAGAAAATACGCGAACAATTTAAAATATAAATCAGATTATAAAAAAACTATCATCAAAGAGGTAGTAAGTGATGAGGCTCCAGTAAAGGAGGCAAGCATCCTAAAGATTTTGAGCTAAATGTTAAAGAGGAATGGGAGTTTGACAGGTGGAAAGAGAAAAGCAGAAGGAATGTGAGATTAAAGCATGAAAACAGAAAGTCAATTATTTCATTTGAGCACCAGATACTTGTCAAACAATTGTTCAAAAGCCTGCTGTTCCCTTTCTATGAAGGACTGTTCAACTAGACCACAGGGCGAATAAAGCATAATGTAATTCACTGAATCATTCTCAACCTTCCCAATGCTGCGACCCTTTAATACAGTTCCTCATGTTGTGGTGACCCCCAACCATAAAATTATTTTCGTTGCTACTTCATAACTGTAATTTTGCTACTGTTATGAATCGTAATGTAAATATCTGATATGCAGGATGTATTTTCATGGTTCGCAACCCACAGGTTGAGAACCGATGGATTAGGCTTTTCATGGAAGATCTTGAATTAGATAGAGGAGTAATTAGAATAACTGCTAAAGTTAGAATAAACAGAACAGTTTGAATCAAGGGAAAAAATGCATTGCAGATTACAGATTGAATAGGAAAACAAAACTGAGGAAGAGTAGGATTCAACTGGGACACCGTGAGAACCAGAACGAGGTGTGAGAAGGTAAGTGGGAGGGACTGGTTCTGAGCGACTTGGGAATAAGAACCTAGAAAGGCTGGAGATAGTAGCAGACCGAGAGGGAGCCGAGGATCGGGTAAGGATGTTATGTTTCGTAGAAATAGGAAAGTGCAGTCTAGTTTGCTGAGAACTGGACCCGTAATCTCATGTCAGTCCAGGGGAAACTAGAGCTTCAAAGAGATAAGCCATCGGGTGGCAAAGAAGGGGCTTATGATGTTACAGGGGCCCCTCGAGCTTCTGAGCCCGGCTCGGGTGGTAGAATCACTCATCCCGCACTGCGGGGCGCATGGCAGGCACCCGGGGCCTTGCCCGGGGACAGCCCTGGGAGCCACAAGGTTTCCTCCCTGGCAGCCTTTGCCCTCACTCACCAGCCTCGCGCCGCCGGCCAGCCTCAACTTCCGAGGCCGCGCCACTGTAGTCACACGTGCGGAGGAGCCCCGGTACAGCCCAAGCACAGGCAGCTCTCCCGGAAGTGTGGGCGGGCTCAACGCCCTACTTCCGTTACTACGCGGGGGCCTGGCACAGTGAAGGGGAGGAGATTTAGAGACAGGAAGCGGAAGACCGGGACTTCGAGCCATAGCCAATCGAGGCCTAAGGCTGTGTCGCTGAGGCCCGAGGAACGGGTGCGGGGGAGGCGCTTCTTCCGGCGGGCCGAGGGGTAGCTTGTACGTTGAAGGACACAGCCTGCGGAATTCGTGCTTTTTAGCGAGGTAGGTAGGTGTGCAGAGGAGCCTGGGCTCGGTCCTCGCGCTTCGGCTTGGCGGCGGCCTGGGGTCCGACCATTCCTAGTCCGGGAGCGCTGCGAGGTCTTCGCTTTGAGGGCCGAGGGCGGTGGGGGAATGGAAAAGGAGTTTGAGATCACGAGGCTTGGCGGTGCGAGGGGTCCGACGTGGGCTGGGCAGCCTCGGGGAGAGGCCAACAGACGCTACCAAGAGCTCCCGAAGGCCCTGAGATTGCATGTTTCCGTTGAGAAAAATGAGGCCCGCAGGGAACCGAGTCCTCAAGGTCACACGGTGACGTAATACTGGATGAGAACTTGAGAGCTTCTGACCCCAGCTCTGGCCGAGTTCATTTCTTTCCTGTGGGCCTGCTTGTGTCCGCTGAGCTGTGCTGCGGCGGCGGGCCAGCCAGACCTCCGTCAGCTGCGCCGCAGCCTGTGTCAGGGCGGGCGAGTGGGGGAGTGGGGCCCGGCCCTTGCAGTTCTCCAGGGTTAGACTTGGGCTCCCGGATGTTCCATCAGCGGGAAGGCCTCTCCGAGGCGGTAGCCAGACAGACTGAGCATTGCAAACGCCTTGAAGTGCGGGCGGCTGGTTCTGGTACTTGAGCGGCCCTCGCTCATCTTTGCTTTGCTTCGCGATCTCACCATTGCAGGTAGGTGTCCGGTCAGAGAGGAAAATAGGAGGATGGAAAAACAGAGTAGCTAGGGCAGTGAGTCACCTTGGCCCTTTTCTGAAATGCTAATTGTGCAGGTGAAGGAGAGGGGCATGGAAGGACTAATTATGCTTGATAGCTCTTATTCCCCAGTTAATTACAAACAAAAATGAAGACCCTGTTGCTTAGTCCTTCCCCACCGACTGCCATTTACCAGTAGTACCCTTATTCTTAGGTGATTTTCTCCATTAATATGTCTTTCTAAACCCAAATATTACTCGGAAGGAAAGCAAGTTTCAGTTCGATTATTCTACAAAGGTTTCTGACCTTTGCCCAAAAGTAACCAGCAGCTTGCGGAAGAGTGCAGAGTGTTTCCAGGCTTTGCTCCCGTTCTTTTTTTTTTTATATATATATATATTTTCATTGATTTTAGAGAGGAAGGAAGAGGGAGAGAGAGAGAGAGAGAGAGAAACATCCATGATGAGAGAGAATCATGGACTGGCTGCCTGCTGCAAGTCCCCCACTGGGGATCGAGCCCACAACCCGGGCATGCGCCCTTGACCGGAATCGAACCTGGGACACTTCAGTTAGCAGGCCAACGCTCTATCCACTGAGCCAAACCGGCCAGGGCTGCTCCCGTTTTTGATTTTCTACTCTCTGCTCCATCTTAGCCTCTCAAGAGTCTTCCTTTCAAACCCAGACTAAATTGCAGTCCCTGTACCATGCTGTCCAGTCGGAATTAGTCCTCTGTGGACGATCACAAACATCAGACTTCGTCCCATATTATGTAGAGAGAATTTTAAAGCACCTTAAATTGTTTCAGTTGCAGACCATATCCTCCTAAAATCTTTTGTTAGGCACAGGTAGTGGGGGTTATCAGTTAATAATTTGACCAAGTTAAGTCCTTGTTTTCGGTAGGGTTTCTCCTGGAAACCTGCTTGATACTATAAGAATTCAAAAAAAATATGAAGGTGAATTGGGGAAGAGGGGGAGTATGCCTTTAATAAGTTTAATAACATGAAACAGTTAATATAAAAGCTTCACCATAAAGGTTTCTTTTAATGGAGATGTTCCTACTTGTGCTGCACAAGCCAAGGCCACGGAGGGGTCCTTCATTGCTCCAAGAACATTCTTTTTTATTTTATTTTTTTATTTTTATTATTTTGTTGTTAATTCTCACCTTGGGATATTTTTCCTTTGATTTTTTTAGAGAGAGTGGAAGGGAGGGGGAGAGAGAGAAACATCGATGTGAGAGACATTCATTGGTTGCCTCCCCACGTGCCCCAACCTGGGCCAGGGATCAGGCCTGCAACCAAGGTACTTGCCCTTGACTGGAATCGAACCCAGGACCCTTCAGTCTTGAGGGCTGACACTCTATCCACTGAGCCAAAGGGGCTAGGGCTCCAAGAACGTTCTTGAAACAATTCAAAATTAAGGTCATTTGTCCAAATTTTTCATTGCCAATTCTGTGCACAAGAATGCCTCTGAAGGCCTTTAAATGGTAAACAGAAGCATGCCAGTTTCCATAGCAATGACTTCCTCACAGATGTCTCCCTCTTCCATTTCATCAAGAGCCAGCCGTATCACTGCCACTGCCTACCAATCTCGACCGGACCTCGACCGGCTCGTCTATGTTGCCAATCGACTCGGCGTGGCGTCGGTCGTGGTAGATAGGTGGTCATACATACGAATTTTCAAGTATTGTTCTGGTGACCTTTGGATGTGCCTTTGCTATTTTTATTATAAGAGAAATAGATGTATTTGTAAAATACGTGGGTGCTATAGATACAACTCCTCTAAAAGTTTGCTATATATTTTTCTATTGTTTCCTGATACTGCAGTGTTTTTCAAACTTTAACATACATCAGAAACACCTAGAAGGCTTATTAAAATGGATTGCTGGGCCCCAGAATTTCTGATTCAATAGGCTTGAGGTGTGGGGCCTGACAATTTGCATTTCTAACAAGTTTCCCAGTGATGTTGATGCTGCTGTCCTACAGATCAGACTTTGAGAATCATTGATGTGCTCTATAATACAATATTCAGAAGTAGGATTTTTTTTTAATTTAACTTACCTGGGGACATATTTGCATGTCAGTACGTAAATAAATAAAGATCTATACACATTGTATTTCCTCCAATGGAAACCATCATTTATCAATTTCTTGTCGGTGGACTTTTAGTTTTTCCAGTTTACTTTAATAAACAGTATTTCTGTCACCATCCTTCATCCATGTAGCATGTTTCTACTTTGTAATATTTCTAGAAGGGTAAATTCCTGGAGGACAAATGAACCAGCTAGATAAAAGGGTATACTAATTTTATAATTTAATAGATAATGCAAAAATGCACTTTAGGAAGTTGTACCAGTTTACACTCTAGGTAACAAAGAAAATGTTTGTTTTCCAACAATCTTACTACTGCTTATTATCATAATTTTATCTTTGCTAGTCTGCTAAATATGGCTTCATTTTACATTTCTTTGATCTTGAGGCTGATTATCTTTTTATGTTTTGTTCTTTTGATTTTTTTAATATATTTTTATTGATTTCGGAGAGGAAGGGAGAGGGAGAGAGAGATAGAAACATCAATGATGAGAGGGAATCATTGGGGATCGAGCCCGCAATCTGGCATGTGCCCTTGACCAGAATCGAACCTGGGACTTTTCAGTCCGCAGGCCGACCATTCTATCCACTGAGCCAAACTGGCTAGGGCTGTTCTTTTGATTTCCTTGACCTAAGATGATTAAAATATTTGCCCATGTTTTTTAATCCTCACCCAAGGATATATTTATTGATTTTAGAGGAAGGGAGATAGAGAAAAAGAGAGAGGAAGGGAGGGAGGACGGACATTGATCGGTTGCCTCCCTTATGCATCCCAACCTGGAACCAAACCCACAACCTTTGTTTTACAGGACGCTTGGTTTTCACTATTTACATTTAAATCTTTTATCTATTGTTGTGTAAGAAATAAGGATTCCAGCTTCCCTACCACCATCAGCTACTATGTATCAACTCCATTTAGTAAATGATTTCTTAAAACAGATTAATTTTTTAAAACTGATTAATTCCAACTACATTGTACCATGGTATTGATAGAGCCAGAATTGAAAACATCAAGCAATATTGCATCAGAAGGTAGACAGAGACTATTCTTTTCCTATGCCCCATGATTTGACATACATTCTGGAGTGTTGTATAAAAGCAACCAAGGTAAAGTTCTCCTTCCTAAAGTTTCTCTTACCAGCGAGGCTTTTTTCACCATCTTTGCTAATCTATGTTGGGCAAGACATACGTAAAAATTTACAATATTTATATGCAATGACTTCCAATTTTTAACCTAAAAAAAATGTATTTTTAAAATTGCCTCCAAACCAATTTATTGTTGCCTTCTTTCTTTTTTTTTTAAAGATTGAAATCATGGCAGGTCCAGAAGCTGATGCCCAATTCCAGTTCACTGGTATCAAAAAATATTTCAACTCTTATACTCTCACAGGTAGAATGAATGTAAGTATTAAAGATACCTTTAAGCAGTTATATTTTAGAATTATGTAAGTGTGACAGTATATCCTCTTTACTTCTTCCATTCTTTTTCAGTGTGTAATGGCTACATATGGAAGCATTGCTTTGCTGATTTTATACTTCAAGTTAAAATCCAAAAAAACTCCAGCTGTGAAAGCAACATGAAAAGTAAGGAGTTGACATTTAAAAGTTTATAACTTAGCCATTTTGATGTTACAGTATTTTTCCCTGGCTATAAAAGTAAATCATTGTCACGATGCAAGATTTATTACATACAAGAAAAAAATAAAGAGAAAAAAATATTTTTTTAAAGATATTTTTTAAAAAATATATTTTATTGATTTTTCACAGAGAGGAAGGGAGAGAGATAGAGTTAGAAACATCGATCAGCTGCCTCTTGCACATCCCCCACCGGGGATGTGCCCGCAACCCAGGTACATGCCCTTGACTGGGATCGAACCTGGGACCTCTCAGTCCGCAGGCTGACGCTCTATCCACTGAGCCAAACCGGTTTCGGCGAGAAAAATATTACTCATATCCCATTACCCTGACAATTTTATTTGCCATTTTGGTTTAGCTCTTTTTTGTATATTTTATTTGGTTTCCATTGGCTATGTCTACAGATTGAAGTAGGGTAAGGATTATAAATGTCTTATAATAGGTATGTTCTCTATAATTTGATGCATAAGTGCTGTGGGTATATGATTTATTTTACAGAGGAAATGTGTCTCCTATTAGATTTTGTTTTAATATAAATAACATTACAATTAATAATGTAATGTTATCACATTACATATGAAGTCTATATCTATGATTGTTTCTTAGGCTGAAGTTTGTTTCCCAAAGAGTTCTGGGACATCCTGCTTTTTAAGAGGTTGTCTCTCTTGCCCCAGCCAAAGCTGAATAATACCAGTTTGGGGGTTTTGTTAATTTGTTGAGTAAAAATAATCTGTCTTTTTATGAAGCTGTACATTTTTTTTGTATTTGCTTACCATTTATATTTTTATTAACATTCTTTTTCATGTGCTTTTCTCATTTAATAATTGGGACTTTTGTCTTTGTGAAGACCTTATTTCTCTCATATAAACTCTATGTAATAATTATTAACCAACTTTTTAAATCAGTTGCAAATATATCTGGTTTTTTGCTAGTGTGCTAGTTTCAAGGTGTCCTTTAAGTCATTTTTTATTTTTCAATTAAAATTGACATATATAATATTGTATTCGTTTCAGGCATACACCCCAGGGATTGGACATTATATAACTCACTAAGTGATCATCCTAGGAATCCATACACTATACATAGTGATTAGAATATACTCCCTATGCAGTACTTTGCATCCCCGTGACTATTCTGTAACAACCAGTTTGTACCTCTAATCCCTTCATCTTTTTCATCCCCCTCCCATCTGGCAAACATCAAAATGTTCTCCGTATCTATGAGTCTGTTTCTGTTCCACTTTTTTACTTTGTTTTTTAGATCCAGTCATTGATATGTATTTATTGCCATTTTATTGTTCATATTTTTTATCTTTTTTAAAATTTCTTACAGAGGACTCTTTAACATATTATGTAATACTGATTCTGGTTTGGTGGTGAGGAACAACTTTAGCTTTTTCTTGCTGGAAAGCTCTTTATATGTCCTTCAATTCTAAATGATAGCTTTGCTAGGTAGAGTAATCTTGGTTGTAGGTCTTTGCTTTTCATCAATTTGAATATTTCTCTTTGTTTGTTTGTTTTTTGTTGTTGTTGTTGTTAATCCTCACCCGAGGATATTTTTCCATTGATTTTTAGGGAGAGTGGAAGAGAGGGGGAAAGACAGAGAGAAACATCGATGTTAGAGAAACACATCGATTGGTTGCCTCTGACCAGGGCCAGGGCCAGGGCCTGAGGAGCCTGCAACCAAAGTATGTGCCCTTGACCAGGATCAAACCTGGGACCCTTTGGTCTACAGGCTGACGCTCTATCCACTGAGCCAAACTGGCTAGGGCTGAATATTTCTTGCCAATCCCTTCTGACCTGCAAAGTTTCTGTTGAGAAATCGGCTGAGCTCCCTTGTAGGTAACTACTTTGCTCTTGCTACTTTTAAGATTCTCTCTTTGTCTTTAACCTTTTGTATTTTAATTATGATGTGTCTTGGTATGTCTTGGTGTGTGCCTCTTTGGGTTCATCTTGTTTGGGACTCTGCACTTCCTGGACTTGTATGTGTATTTCCTTCACCAGGTTAGGGAATTTTTCTGTCATTATTTTTTCAAATAGGTTTTCAATCTCTCTTGTTCTCTTTCTTCCTATGGCACCCCCATGATGTGAATGTTGGTACACTTGAAGTTGTCCCAGAGGCTCCTTATAATGTCATTTTTTTGGATTCTACTTTATTTTTGCTGTTTTGATTGCATGTTTTTTGCTTTCTTATATTTCAAATCACTGATTTATTTCTTGGTTTCATCTTCTCTATTGTAACTACCTGTAAATTACTCATTTCAGTTCATTTATCCTTCATTTCTAACTGGTACTTTTTTTTTTAATATATTTTTTATTGACTTCAGAGAGGAAGGGAGAGATAGAAACATCAATGATGAGAGAATCATTGATCAGCTGCCTCCTGCCTGCCCCACACTGGGGATCAAGCTCACAACCCCGGCATGTGCCCTGACTAGGAATCGAACCATGACCTCCTGGTTCATAGGTCAATGCTCAACCACTGAGCCAAACCAGCTAGGGCCTGACTGGTTCTTTTTAATGGTTTCCATGCCCTTTTTTATGCTGTTGAAGTTCTAAGTTCATTGAACGTTGTTATAACCAGTATTTTGAACTCTACATCTAATAGATTGCTTGTCTCCATTTTGTTTAGTTATTTTTCTGGAATTTTGTTCTGTTCTTTCATTTGGAACACATTTCTTTGTCTTCTGATATTGGTAGCTTCTTTGTATTTGTTTCTATGAATTAGGTAGAGCTGCTTCATAGAGAGGCCTTATGTACCAGGTGTTCTGCAGAATCCAGTGGTACAGCTTCCCCAATCACCCAAGCTGGGCACTCCAGGTGCACTCCCATGTGGGCTATGTACACCTTCCTGTTGCAGTTGAGCCTTCATTGCTGTTGGCACATCAATGGGAGGGACTTACCCTGCAGCCCAATAGTCTGCAAGGACTCGCTGCAACTACCAACCACCATGGAGGATTAGCTATGCTGGGACCCGCCCCACAGAGCAGGACTTACTTCAGTGGGGCTCTAGTTCCCACTGAGTCTGCCTCTTTTATTTATTTATTTATAATATATTTTTATTGACTTCAGAGAGGGAGAGGGAGAGAGATAGAAACATCAGTGGCGAGAGAGAATCATTGATCAGCTGCCTCCTGCATGCTCCCTATTGGGGATTGAGCCCACAACCCAGGCATGTGCCCTTGACCGGAATTGAACCTGGGACCCTTCAGTCCACAGACCAATGCTCTATCCACTGAGCCAAAACAAATAGGGCTGAGTCTGCCTCTTGAGTGTGTTGCTTGTGAAAGTGGTTGGGTGGTGCTTCATCATGGTCTAAAGCTGCCCATTGGATGTGCTGAGTCTGGGGTCTTCAGAGAAGTGCAGGCCAAGGTCAGCCACTGCCTGTGTTCTGACTGCCACCTGTTTTCTGCCTGGGGCCACCTGGCATGAGTTGCAAAGCAATCTGCAAATGGCTATCTGTGTTGGTCTTAGAGGTGCCCAGGTGAGACCAAGCTGCAAACCAAGGGTGGCTACTGCTAGTGCCGGCTTGGGACCACTTAGTGAGAGGTACAGGGCACACTGAGGCCAGATGCTGCTCATTTGAGATATTTTAGCAAAGTCTGAAGCATGAGCCAAGACATGCCATTCACAGGGAAAAGACCCTGGAAACAGCTTTGGTGGGCCTTATAGTTGGCTAGGGCAGGTCTTGAGGAATCACCAGAGCAAGGCGAACAGTGTGAGCCAGGTTGATGGAGACTCAGATATGGTCCCCGTCTGCTGGCTTGGTTGGGGGAGGGCTCAGAAAAGGAACAATGGCCTCTGCCAGCACTTTTGTCTGACAGAAAGTTGCCTTCCAGCTCTCACCTTGATCCCGACAATTCATTTCCTCCCCATATGTCCCTGGTGTCTTTCAAGCTGCTGTCCTAGTACTGGAGTTCCGAGGGAGAGTCAGAGTAAATCCATGTGCAGGCCTTTTAAGAGCAACTGCTTGGCCTAAATCCGGCCTGTTTGAAATGAATAAAACTAAAAAAAAAAGACCGTACCCTTTTATGTAATGATGTTTACTTTGAATTTATATTAGTTCACACAAACACTCCATCCATGCTTTTGTTCCGGCCCTCCGGTCCAGTTTAAGAACCCATTGTGGCCCTCGAGTCAAAAAGTTTGCCCACCCCTGGCCTAGCCTGTTAGCTCAATGGTTAGAGCGTTGGCTGGTGGAATATAGGGTGGCAGGTTCGATTCTGGTCAAGGGCTTATACCTTGGTTGTAGGCTCCATCCGGGGCCTGATTGGGGTGCATGGGGGAAGCAACCAATCAATGTCTTTCTCTCTTTTTCTCACACTGGTGTTTCTTTCTCTCCTCCTCCCTTCCACTCTCTAAAAATCAGTGGGAAAAATATCAAGTGAGGATTAAAAAAAGAGGAACTGCTCTTAATTCCTTACTTGTAAGACTTTCATTTAGCTAGTTTTCAGATGGTTGTTCGGTAGTTTAGTTGTAATTTTGATGTGGTTGGTTTCAAATTTTTATATAAGCAGTTCTATCTTTTCCTTAAATCCCCATAGACTTCATTTGCTCCCAACCCATTTACCTATGCTTGAGTGAATAAATATTTGTGTTGGCAATAAATGTGCAAAAAACCCCAAATCCAGATCTTTATCCAATGTAGCTTTCCACCGATTCCCTCTGCTCTTAAGAGCTTTTCTAATCTTTAGGAGATTGAATATCCCAGAATGCAAATGTAGTATTTTGCTCAATTTTCCATATTAGGTACCTCCTAACTCTGGGAGGGTAGTTGTAGCCCCATTATACAAATGGAGAAGTTGTCTCAGATATTAAATAACAGATACATAATAGATAACATACCTGTTTTCTACTGTTTAAAATGTTACTTTATATACTTGACTTTGCCAGTAGCCTACTTTTATGATCATACTGAATTGTTGGCAGCTCTTTTGTTAAAGGTGGAGTGTTAGGTTAAATTGTATTAAGCTGAGATAAACCTTAATTTTGGGAGTTAGACTCCTTTGAAAATTTGATGTGAATTTGCATTCAATTTCAAGGGGTTTTGGTTCATGGATAGTCCTAAACTGATAATTTGCTGAATGTCTTAAAAGTAGAATTGAACATGATTGTGTCTAAACTATTTTTGCTTTGTTTATAGGATTATAAACTGTACCTCATCTGTTAATTTCCCATGCCTGGAGAAGCTAATGTCAACTCATCATGTGATACTCAATTTGTACAATAAATTATGAACCTGGAAAAGCTGGTTGTCTTTATTTACAAGATATCAAAAATATAAAAACTGTACAAAATGCAACAAAGGCAAAAACTGGCAGTGACTTGGTCTGAATTTTAGTTTCCCAAAGCAAGGCTCAGTACTGGAGGTAAGCAACTGAAATGTCTGTCTGACTTCAAGTGTACAAGGTTGTATATAGCCATTTTAGCTGAAGTAGAACATGGAAGCTAAATTTCTTCACCTGATTTCTAGAGTGGGTACACTCTGCATCTAACAGGTGTAAATTCAGATGTCAGTGGGTAGCTGTACTTCATCTAAATCCTAGAAATGAATTGTAGTTCACCCTACCCAGTTACATACATTCCACTAGTCATAGCTACGCAAAAACGTTAGATCATTTAACATAATACTTGAGTGCCATACAGTAACTACATTTTTACAGCAGAAACAACATGCTCATAGAATTCTTCAGCTAAAATTCAAGATGGTATTATATTACTCAATTTGAATCTTGAAGCAGGATGAATTGTTGAAATCAATTGGGGTTTTTTCTAAACATAATAAATTAAAATAGCATTTGAACAGAAAATGCATAGTTTCCACACATTCCAAAGCACCATAAATGTCCCCTCCACAAACATAATACCTCTTATTCAACTAACAGAAATTAGTTAAATGCAGTTGCTATAGAAACGTGGAACTCTCCTGTTCAGATTTTCCAAGCAGCATACTTCCAGATCCATATAGACAAAACATTCTTTGTAGCTTAAATTAATCACTGAGGTATTTGCTTTTAGTCTCCCTTTTTCAAACAGTAGCTTCCAAAGGTCTTTAATACCGACGGTTTATTGCGGACTATAAGCTCCTGCAGCTAGAACCAAGTTTCTTCGAGTAAAATGGAGATGTACAACTGGTGTTGATTTGGTCATATATGTTCCCAACAGTAACTCCTGTGAATTCTCAGGTAAATTTATATGCCCAGTGGCTGTAGTAAAGTCATCAGTCTCTAAATCTTCAAATGCTTTGACAGCATCCCATAACCGGACTGTATTATCCATTGAACCTAAGCGAAAGTCAAAGGAAACCATTTAGTAGCATCTACCACATTTAGCTTCTAACATTTTGCCAAGTACACTTTATGTATTTACTGTATACTTCTGGTGAAAAATCTAAACCTGATTAACAACTCTATTCCTTCTAAAGGAGCATTTCAAGCAGTTTAATGTGAGAGGTCAACATACATGTAGAGCAATACTGTGGAATCATGGCTAAGGAGAAGCAAAGCCTAAAACAGCAGGACTTAATTTTGCAATTGTCAACACTCATTGTTTCCTGTTAACACACCATTTACCCTTTACCACAAAGCCATTTCTAGTTATTTACCTGATGCCAAAATTTCACCATCTCTACTAAACCTAAGTGAACAGACTGTATCGGTGTGGCCTTTTAATTCTCCAACCATCAAACCATGTCCAATATCCCAAAGGAGTACTCTGCCATCTGTTGCTCCTGTAGCCAGGAATCTCCCATTGGGAGAAAATGTCAAGGAATGAATTGGTCCCTAGAAAAGAAGTTCATGGAAAGAATCAATAGTAGGGCTAAAAATATTTAAGGAAATAAGACCAAGTTAGAATTTTTAGTGTAGTGGTATAAATAGTATCTTTAGAATATATGTATCATTGGTTTGTTTTTAAAATATTTTTCTCAAAAGCAGCCTTGTGTGCTGGAATAATGAAGGTGTACGTAAAAATACCTTGTGTCCAGTGAAGATCCTTACACAGTTCCCATTCAAGACATCCCAGAGCCGCACAGTTCTGTCTGCAGAGCCCGTAGCAACATAATTAGAATTTGGATGGAATCTGGTACAATTTACATCAGCAAGATGGCCAGCAAATATCCTTAAAGGCTGATAGTGGTCTGTGGCCCAGAGCCTTTTTAAAAATTTATTAAAAGCAAAAGATGATAATTAGTTAACTACGAAATGCCACAATTATCCAAAGTAAATACCCATGTGAAATGTTAGTTCCATATGAGTCCCTCTCACCTGAAGGAAAGACGGAATGATTGAGACTAAATAGCATTCTTAAGAAAAATGAAGTTGATCTGGTACAAACATTTTATAATTTTATAATTGAGTTCTCTCCTCTTCCTGCTCCCCCTCCACCCTTCTATCCCATCCAACTCCTAGTCTAACCCATAGGAAAGTTTTAGCCACCACATAGTTTCTAACCTGATCTACTTCATCCTGAACTTTTAAGGAGATGGCAGGGAAACAGGTGCTACAGTAGTAGTGAAAGACAAGGTTAAACAGCTAATTTTAAAAAAGAGAAAGTGAAAAATACATTTTAAAAACTACCTAAAAAAAGTTGTAAACAGCTGATGATAGGCAGGGAAGGTGTGTTAATAAGCTAACTTGAGGAAGAAAAAGGACTTAAAACTCTTCAGATATAATTATAGAATAGTAATACTCTTCCCAAATTCATTTTCAAATAAGGAGCTATAAATGCTGACATTCTCAAAAAGCTGATCCGGAATAATACAAGTGAAAATGAGTTTGGCTGGAGTTTGTAATTCCCAACAAGAAACCATTCTGTTCTTGAATAAACCCAGTTATAAGACCGTAATGTACTTACCGAGCTACTCGGTCATGGCCCCCAGATACAAAATAATATCCATATGGAGAAAACTGTGTGTCCCAAACTGGATAGTTGTGTCCTTTATATCCCACCAAGCAAGTAAATGTTTGAAGACTCCACAATCTAACAGTTCCATCCTCTGAAGAGGAAAGCAGATAGTTCCTGAGAGAAGAGAATATATTTGATTCCCAGAATAACTTAGTTACCTGTCCAGTTTCTGTACATTTTAATATCTATATATAAAAGGCTAATATGCAAAGTGTCCCCGTAGGAGTTTGACCAGGAGTTCTATCACTCGCTATGATATGCGCTGACCCCCAGGGGGGGCGGTGCGGAACAAAGAAAGGCCCTGGCCAGTAGCCAGAAGGCCCCGATCAGCCAGCCATAGGGACCCTACCCATGCACAAATTTCGTGTACCGGGCCTCTAGTATTAAATATGCTGACATGCTACATCTTATTTCTAATTTATACATGGTATTCACAGTAGGTATAAGTACTAAACAAACTAATGTTAGCCGTGATATTCCACAACTGAGCACCTACGGAATGAAATTTATTTTTTTAAAAAAACTCAGTTTTTGATTTTAAAATGAAAATGCTATTTTCCTATCCTGTGTGAGTTTTAAAAGAATTTAAAAGGAATTATCTTTTTGACACACAAAGGCAAATACAAAAACACTAGGCAGGTGAGTAATCATCTACCTTTTTTAGGGATAAATACAAAAGCTTAACTATTCCAAGTATTATGGTTTTGGCAGAAATCAAAAGTTTCTCTCAAGTAAAAATGTATCCCTCAAGTAAAAATGTATCATCCTGCTAAACCCTATCAAACAACAAAAACCTCATTCTCAAAGGCTCATAAAGATGAAAATCTTGATGGATTAAAAGCTAATATCTATCCAAGTAAGATACAGATGGTATGAATACAACATACCCTTCCATTTTTATGGAATGTCAGATCATGAGAAATAAGCAAATACCTATTTGTGGGTTACAAATTTCCTTTTCAGTATTCTCTTAGTCCTTTTGATTGTACAAAGATATAAATCTTCAATTAATAGCTAATAAGCCTTTAATCTCAAGAATCTTATAAATTTAGAGATGATGGAAGACAGCATTAGCCACAAACCCAAAGTAGGAACCCAAAGAAGCAATTCAAATTAAGGGTTATACTAAACTAAAACTAATAAAACCAGCAAACCCTGAAGTCTATAAATTTGGGTATACATTAAGTTGTTATCTTTTACAGCCAAGATGAATTAGCAAATGGCAAGATCTAAAAGATAATGATTGACAGGCAACCATAAGATTTTTCTAACAGAAAATTTCTTAACATTTGTATGCTTCCAGTAAACTTTTATATAATTTCAATATAATACAGCAGTACTTAATTTTTACTGTTTATACTTTACCTATCTGGACTGAAGCTGGCTCCATAGACAGGCCCACTGTGACCATACAAAATCTTTAATTCGCTTGCTGTTTTCTCATCCATGATTCTTTCTAAGACATCATCTGATTCTTTGTCTATGAGGCTAAGATCTAAAATGGTCCAGAAATACTGATTTTTAAAAGTACATTCATTAAAACATTTTAAGGAAATCACTTTACAGTTCAGAAGAAGAACATTTGAACAGTTCTTCTGGCATACCACCCACTGTGCTAATGCCTCTAAATTAGGTGATACTATTCCAGTATATAGCAGAGGAAACTGAAGTTCAGAAGAGTTAATAATTTGCCAGAGTGCACATAGCTATTCAATGTTGGATCTAGGACTGAAACTCAAGTAATCCACTATATCACAATGTTTCACAAAAATGAAAGCTATGGAAAAATTATTAAAAATGTATTACCTTGTTTAATAGGATAGCAAGGAACTCTTTAAAATGAAGTCCTGATTTTTTTTTAAAAATTCACAAATAATCATAAAATGTCAGATTTTTTTTTTTTTAGGAAAAATGTCAGATTTTTAACCTTAAGTTTTCTAGCATATTCCCCTCATTCTACAAAGGAAAAAAATTGAGGCCCAGAGAAATTAAACCAGTCTAGTACTCCAGTCTCCTGATTGCCACTCCAATGCACTTACCACTATTGGGAAATGTTAGCATTTTGAGTTAATGTAAAATCAAGTGAAAGTCAGCTAAGATCACAATCTCTGGTATATATTCCATGGGAATCAAGACTGGTGTAAACTAACTAAGAGTTCACAACCTGACAGGTTCATCTCAGTTACCTGCTGCTTGTTTGACACTACGAAGCTTTTTGGGAGTCACAGACCACACTCTGACAGTTGAATCTGCAAAACCTCCAGCAATCAAACTAGAATCATCAGTGACATCCACTGCAGTAAGGCCCTGCCAAGGGAAAAAAAAGGCTTTATACTAAACAA